GGGGGGGGGGGGATGAATGGTGGGGGTGTTGTGTTGTAAATTTGACAAAAAGGATGAGGGTATTGTTGTCATTTAAGTTATTAAAATAAGTTAGTGGAGAACTTTTCTTTTTTCCTTTTTTAAGTTCATATCTATTTGCTAGTATAATTTTGTGCTGTGTTGTACTCCTGCCATTGTGACAGGAAATATTTATCCTTACTGCTGAAGTCATTTATCCTTACTGTTAACATGCAGTACTTAACCAAGTAATTTAAGTGTAATTATCACGAATTTAAGAGTGAATTACGTGTTAGTTTGTATATTATTAAGAAAAAAAAACGGCTATTGTTCTTAATCTTAAGAAAATTGAGTCCACTTCCACATGTGAATGCTTATCCACTTCGCTCTACTTGGATCCATTTGTGTTTTAATATATTTCTAACATTGACACTTCCTACCTTTTTGTTGATTTACGTTTACCAGACATAACAAATAAAATAGAAATATAATTTACTATATGTAAGCCTAATAGTCTCATATATGTAAGCCTAATAGTCTCATAATTTTTTGTTATGCTTATATAAAAGACATAATACATAAAGATCCCATTAAACTTGTTCAAAAAATAGGTTTGAACACTTAAATTAAATAGGTATTCTTTTACTCCCTTTGGAGTGAATTATTTCCCCTCCCCCCCCCCCCCCCAAACATTAATACCAGTCTCACAATATGAGGTGTTTGGCACACGCGCGCCAAGTCAAAATCACGTCAGAAATCTTTTAACTTTCCTCTTTTTTCTTTTTTCTTACTCATAGTTTTACACTAATAATCCTAATTAATCATTAAAATGCTTAAATAATAATACTAAGCAAAAGGGAAAACCAATACCAGATAGGAAAAATTGCACAAAAAAGAAGATCTATATTAGGAAAAGGTCAAATACATAGACAGCCCACTAAACTTGGCCCAATTTTTTATTTTGGCACTTTAACTTAGCCTTGTTCCATTTTGGCCTTCCAACCCCATTTTTTTTATTCCACTTTGACACAAAAGCTGACTAGATTTCATGTGTGATTTGCCTCACCCTTGTAGGCGCGTAAGAGCCATTTTTAAGCCAAATTTCATACTCCCAACGTAGAGTCAGATCCAGAATTTAAATCCTATGAATTCAATTTTAGTGTTTTTAACATTGAACACATTATATTTTTAAAGTTATCGATTTATATCTATTTTTTTTTACAATTTTAATGAATTTTTACATATAAATTTTTACTCCGCGTCGAAAGTTATGGAATCAATTGAACCCGTAGTTATTACTGAAAATATATATAAAAAAATATTTTTTCCACCGGAGGGGGCAGAAAAAATAAAAATAATAATAATTTGAAATTACAAAAGAAAAATGCGAGGGTGGGGTAAGCAGCTGGGTATTTGTCCGCGCTGCATTTTTACTTGGGATAAAAGTATTTGTGTTAAAGTGGAACAAAAGAATGCATTATATTTTTAAATGTTATGGGTTTATATCTATTTTTTTTTTTTACAATTTTAATGAATTTTTACATATAAATTTTTACTCCGCGTTGAAAGTTATGGGTTCAGTTGAATCCGTAGTTATTATTGAAAATATATAAAAAAAAATATTTTTCCCCGGAATG